TTGTGTAAGCAAAGCCCGTTGACGACTACCAATCTGACCCTGACCATGGGCCACGTTTCCGACTGGGGGAGGGGGCCCTATTGGGGTCCTTATTGTAAGGGAATCCTACTATTTGGGGGTCTAAATAAGGGGTCCCATATTCTGGCACTTCCGCGCAGCATCGTGGAGCGAAGCCAACCCCAGACACCTGCAACCAGCACACAGGTTAACCTAAATCATATGGTCAGTTCTCTACATCATGATCATTTTTTGGGGTACCCTAAATAAGAGGACCCGCCCTTAGAATAAGATCCCGAAGGGGATCATCTTTTAGAGTCTAGAGAAGTAAGATCATCAGAATGCACACCCATAAGGAATCTTCCTGACGAGCAATCGGAGTCTCTTGGGTTCCCCCCTTCGAAAGCCGACAGCTCAGCCCCCCAGTCCCTTAATCCAAAACCCTAAAACCTAGATGCCCGAACCCCTGGCCCTCTATCCTACATGTCCCTAGACCCGAAAACCCTACAACCCGAAACCCGAAACCCTAAACCCTAAAACCCTAAGACCCTAAGACCCTAAAACCCTAAAACCCTAAACCCTACAACCCTGCAACCCTACACCCGAAACCCTAAACCCGAAACCCTAAACCCTAACCCTACTGAAGAATGCTCAGGTCCCATGGCTTGGCGATGGAGAACCTTAGCCTGGCTGAGGATGGGCTCATAGCCCTGTCGCACATAGAGCCTTGGCTCCGGGGTTCAGGGGTTTGGGGTGTAGGGTTTATCGTTTGGGGTTTGGGATTTGGGGTCTAGGGTTTAGGGTTTGGGATTAGGGTTTAAATTTAGGGTTTGGGTTTGGGCCTAGGGTTGCTGGTTTGGGGGTTTGGGGGATTTTGGGCTGGAGGGTATGGAGTTGAGAATCTAGGGTTGAAGGTCGAGGGTCGAGGAGTCCCGGGTTTGGGGATTTGGGGTTAAGAGTTTAGGGTTTAGGATATAGGGTTTAGGGTTTAGGGTTTGGGGTTTAGGGTTTAGATTTAAAGTCCAGGGTTTAGGGTATAGGGCTTAGGGTTTAGGATTTAAATTGACCAGAATTCAGGGTTTAAGGTTTTTAGGCTTAGGATTCAAGTGTCCAGGGTTTAGGGTTGGGGGTATTTAATCCCCTCGCCCAAATACTGGGTAGGCCCTTGGGATATTTCATAGTGTCCCTGTTTTGGGTTCAAGAGGATCATACTTAGTAACATATTCAGAGGGTAAACCTGGAATTTATGTGTTATGGGAGTCTGTTCATCGTTTTTGTGTTTCAGGGTGCACACCCACACCCAACCAAAAAGCATCATAATTACAACTCACAAATAAACAACACACTGCTCTGAGAAAGTTTCACCACCAGCGCCACCACCCACTTAAACTTACTAGGTTCTGTCATCATCCCTACATGGTCCCTATTGTTTAGGGGGAATTATCGGGGAAGGTGTAGGGCAATACGGCTCGAACCCCCCGCCCCCCCCCAAAGCCAAATCCCAAACCCCACATTTCCAAAACCCTAAACCCCCTACGGCCCCCCAAACAAACTCCAAACCCTAGACCCGACACGCTAGACCCTAAACCCTAACCCCCCCCCCCCTCTAAGAAAAAAACAAACAGAAAATCAAGTTCAGGAGTTCCTAATGCCTCAAAGCTCTGACGAGCCCCAATGCCCTCAAGCCCCGAGGCCCTAAAGCCCTGTTCCCGAAAGCACTTTTTAAGCCCGAAAGCCCTGAACCCTGAAATCTGGACAACCCCTAAACCACCTCCCAAAAACAAACACGCAGTCGAGGAAAGGCTCCGGGCGGAGGAGGGGATCTCATCAACCCGGGTTTTGGGTTCTGGGTTTAGGGTTTAGGGTTTATGCGTGGTCGAGTACCAGGGTTCCGGGTTGTGAGGGTTCAGGGCGTACGTAGGGTTTCGGGTTCAGGGTATCTCCGTAAGTCGCCTTTAGCCGTTTTTGCCTTGAACTTGTTCTTGGGGCGACCCATAGGCTTTTGGGTCTTAGAATGTCTGATGCGTGGAGCACGCAGCCTGAAACCGTTTCACCTCTGCGGAAACCCTGAACCCAGGCCGTTTTAGGGTTCGGGGTTGAGGGTTCAGCGAAGGTTTTGGGCTTGGGGCAGGCTTGGGAGAAGTCACTGCATCTAGAACCTCGCTAAGCACAAAAGACCCTAACTAAGCAGCTTCAGTAGCAGCCCTTCACGCTTTCGTCCCGGACAATGTCTGGAAGAAGCCCACCTAACTTTCTGAGGCGTTTGATCTAAAGCCTGGTACCAGCACTTGACGCTGAAGCACGAAGACCTTACACACTGTCCAGGTTTTAGAGTCTAGAGTTCAGGCTTCAGGGTTGACAGTTTAGGGTTTAGGGTCCTTAAACCCTAAGCCCTAAGCCACAAACCCTAAGTTGAGGGTTTAGGGAGGGAGCGACCCCGCAGGACCCGAATGTTCAGATTTTGGTTTTCCTCGATGTCCGGACCTCAGCCTGGCTTTGGGCACCCATTGGGGTGACAGCTCAGCTTGGGGGGGGAGGGGTTTAGGGGTTTAGGGGTTTAGGGGTTTAGGGGTTTAGGGGTTTAGGGGTTTAGGGGTTTAGGGGTTTAGGGGTTTAGGGGTTTAGGGGTTTAGGGGTTTAGGGGTTTAGGGTCTGGGGGTTGGGGTTGACACGGACTTTGGAGTCCATGCGATCAGTATAAGTGAGACAGCTGACTGGCGTTTAGGTGGATGTTGCAGAAAAAAACCCCCTAGGTTCACCATCAACGTTTGCGCTTGTCTCTTACCCGCTCGGTTGTTGTCCCTGCAGCCCGTAAAAATCTTCAAATTGGAACCCTAAACCCTAGACCCTAAACCCTAAACCCTAAGCCCTAAACCCTGGCCAAGAAAAAGCCATCGGTTCGCGTGATGAATAAACCCGTCTGGGATTCGCACGACCACAGGAGCCAGGGGAAGTTCCTGATATAGGGGTCGGAATAATTACTAATCATATTCCCTTATGGTCCCTTTATATACATATATATGTGTGTATATATATATATATTCGATGATAACCCCCAAAACCCTGTTCTAATTTTTAAGACCCCTATATTAAACCCTAAACCCTAAACCTAGACGACAAGAGTTCCTAAGCCCTAAACCCTCATCCTGCACTACGTTGAAGGGCTCTTGGGCGAGGGCCTCGGGAGCCCAAGCCTCGGGAGCCCAAGGGAGCCATGCGTTCCAAAACCCTAAAGCCGTCAACCCTACTTGGAGGATCGGGGACGTTAGTAAGTAGTTTGTTAACGGAACAAATCTGAGTTTAGGGAGTCGGCGATTCAGTAAGGTTATTCAAGTACGGTACAAGTAGGGTCCTAAACCCTCAACTCTCAACCCTAAACCCTGAACCCTAAGCCTCCCTAAGCCCTAAACCCAAAAATAGGGGTACTTGTGTCTGTTTACTTACCAAGTTCTCCACTCCGACACCTAAACAGGTTCGCATGCCCAACCTCGATGGGGAAGCCACAGCCGGGCGCCCGAGATTTGCGGAGGTTTAGGGTTTAGGGTTTAGGGTTTAGGGTTTAGAGTTTAGGGTTTAGGGTTTAGGGTTTAGGGTTAGCCCTAAGTCCTGCTCAGAATGTAGGTCTGCATTTGGGGTTGCTACAGGGTTTAGGGTTTAGGGTTTAGGGTTTAGGGTTTACGGTTTTATGCATCTTGTTCTGCACCTCCTTCCCATTCTCGAATCCACAATGAAACCACGACTGGAACCTAGCATTACAGGAACCAGGACGCCTTCTTGTGTGTCATAGTGCACGACGAAAGGAGGATTATGGATAGCAGCTTAGACATATTAAAAGTTTCGGCTTAAACTCTGCACCCTAAACCCTAAACCTGGTCACCCTTAACCCTAAAACCTAAACCCCAAACCCTAAACCCGAAACCCTAAACCCTAAACCCAACCGTACCCTTTACGTGCGGAAGCCTTGGAGCTGTGTCCCCAAACCATGGGCCACTGATCCCTGCTTGGAGGTTCATGGTACTTATTAACCAATTACAACTGTACTTATAACTGTACCTATAACCATATGAGGACACTTTAAGGGGCTTATAAGTGGGTTGTTATAAGTACAGTTATAATTGGTTAATAAGTACCATGAACCTCCAAGTGGATCTACGGTATTCTACGGTCACTTTCCTTCCCAGAAATCTGAGTAGGGCTTCGGGTTTACCGTTCAGGGTCGGGATAATTCCCAATCTATTTAGGCGAAGAGAATATCAAGGAATTCCGGTTGATCTAAGCTTTGAGGCTTCAGTGGTACGGCTTGTTCGGGCTGTGACAGCTTGCGACTCATGTTTGAGCTGGGATTCGAGGACTGCAACCCTAAACCCTAAACAAGGGGTCGGAATGATTTCTAATGATATTTTTGTGTGGTCCCTCTATAATTCTACTATAGCAACCCTCAAAAACGGTTTTTTATTTGCTTAGGCCCCGAAAGTACATGGTTTAGGGTTCTGGGATTCAAGGCATTATACGGCTAAAGAAACCTTTAGGGCAAGCCTTAAACCCTACACGCTCAGGCTTGGAGGTTCGGGAAGCCTCAACCCATGTTTACCTGAAGTCCTAGACACTAAGCCCTGGCAAAGTCCCATGACTCTCCCTGGAACAGGGTTTAGGCGGTTTAGGGTTTCGGCCACCCCCACCCCCCAATGTCTGGCTCGGTGGTTCAAGGTGAGTGGACTTTGGGCAGCTGCATGCGGTGGTTTGTTTACAAGTCGGCGTTTGGTGTTCAGGATAAAGGGTTCAGGGCCTGCAAAATCATGCAAAAGTTATTGAGAGAGGGCGACGCTGAGTTTGACAGACCACCCGTAATTTTTATGCAGTAGGAAATGTGGTGCTGTGTGAAAAATCAGTGCTTGCAGGGTTTTGTTTATGTTTAACAGAATTCGGATTCTTTCATTCAGGGTGGAGAGGCCTTTCTTGGGGGTCTAGGAAGAGATTTGTGACCGGCCAGCTGGTTTTGAAAGATGCCGGCCATACAGGGCAGCACCGCCTGGGTCTCCGGCGCAGCGCAGGTCGTGTGGCCGACAAAAGGGTTCAGGGAAACCCTCAACCCTAAACCCTAAACCCTAAACCCTAAACCCCCTACAGCTTCAAACCCAGAGTGTTCGCACGGACAGGGGATCGGACTGGCTCTCAGCCGCGAGCTGGTTGCGAAGGGCGCCAACGTGGTGACGAAGAGAGTTTAGGGTTTAGGGCTTAGGGTTTAGGGTTTGGGGTTTGGGGTTTAGGGTTTAGGGTGCATCGGGTTTAGGGTGTATCGGGTTTAGGGCTTAGGGTTTATAAGCTTTAGGGTTTAGGGTAAGGCTGAGGGTTTAGGGTTTAGGGAATGGGGTTCCCTAAGCCTTGAAGCCTAGATACTCCACTGAGTCAGAGCCCCACAAGGGCGTTCTGCAGTTCCCCTAGACACAGCAAGCCCGAAGATGCGGTTTAGGGTTTAGGGCTTAGGGTTTAGGGTTTTAGGGTTTTAGTGTTTTAGGGTTTTAGGGTTCTAGGGTTTTAGGGTGTAGGGTTTAGGGTTTAGGGTTTGGGGCGTCGTAGCGTTACGGCCTGACCCCAGCTAAGGTGATGGCAGATCTGATGGAGCAGAGTCTGACCGATGTTGAAGATACGCTTTTGATTTAAGTTAACTTGCGAGCAAACATCTGCAGAAACCAACAAAATGTCGGGAACACTTTCATCATCAAGGAACATGAAGTTTCCTGTTTAAAGGGTGTCCCAAACCCTACAAACCTTATGCCCTAAACCCTAAACCCTAACCCCCAATCCCTAAACCCTAAAACCCAAACCCTAAACCCTAACCCCTAAACGCCCAACATCTAAGGAGTAAGGGCCAGAAATTGGCCGCCGAAGTGTCTCAGGGTGGCGCCGGCGTGGCGGTGTGCCCAGGTCCTTGTTGCGAGCAGAGGGTTTAGGATTTAGGGTTTTTTTCAGTTTGGGGTTTGTAGGGCTTATATTGTTTATAGGGTTTTAGGGTTTAGGATTGGGTGGGTTTATAGGGTTGGTAGGGTTTATAGGGTTCATAGGGTTGTAGGGAAAATAGGGTTTAAGGGTTAAAGGGTTTATAGGGTATAAAGTATTTTGGGGGTTTATAGGGCTCATAGTTTTTTGGGGGTTCACAGGGTTTTTTGTTTTTGGGTTTATAGGATTTGCAGGGCTTATAGGCTTTAGGGTTTTGGGCTTAGGGTTTGGGGTTTAGGGTTTTTGTGTGGTTTAGGGTTCAGGGTACCGAAACCCTAAACCCTAAACCCTAAACCCTAAACCCTAAACCCTAAACCCTAAACCCTAAAACCCTAAAACCCTAAAACCCTAAAACCCTAAAACCCTAAACCCTAAACCCCTAAACCCTAAACCCTAAACCCTAAACCGCAGCCTCCAAACCCGAAAACCTGGAGTCCACAGCACTCAGGTATGACCAGGTCGATGTGACAGACTCTGGGAGCCTCCATCGCAGCATGGTGGACAAGCCCAAGGCAACTAATGTGGCTATCAAGCCTTTGGGAAGGTTCAGAGTGTAGGGTTTAGGGTTTAGGGTTTAGGGTTTAGGGTTTTAAGGAGGTTTAGGGAGGCAACCCTCCAGGATTTTTGAACTTTTGGGGATATTTTTGCGAGCTTACTACGAATTGCTTAAGATCCCCCAAAGAAACATAAAGTATTATTCTTGATAAGAGTAATCTAGAATTATCACGATTTTGGGGGGCGTTCTAAGCAAATAGTAGTTTAGGGTCTATTTTCAGCTTAGCGCACGGAAGCTCGAAATGGTGAGGGGCAGGGGCATGTTCTGTTGCGTATCGAGGTTTCGATGATGGCTTTGTTGTTTTTTGCAGGTTGCTACCTACATAATTTGGGATGTTCCGCCTTATACTAACAGTCCTTGATAGGGATCATAGTAGGGGGTACTATACTCCCTATTTAGAACTGCTATTATAAGGGGGAACATCCCAATACATAATCCTTACATCTACCTTTCACATCAAGAATAGTTCCGACGGCCTGGGGGCCCTTCTCAAACCCTACACCCCCCCGAACCCTAAACACCTGAAACCCTCAGGCCCTAAACCCCTCAAGCCCCAAAACCCTAAACCCTAGACCACCTCCACAAGGCTCCCCTAAGGTCTTTAAGGCGTATAGGAACCCTGGGCAGCCTCAACACTAAACCCTGAACCTGAACGCAAAATGGGGTTTAGGGTTTAGGGGTTGATCTATGTCTTTGAGGCCCACAAGCCTAAGACCAAATCCCAGCAATTGAGTCAGTGGAGTGTAGGCCCCTGGAGTCCGATGATGATTTCCATAACAAACCGTGGTTACCTCAGGCTGGGGTCAACGGGAGTAGGACTTAGACTCTATACAACCCCTTCAAGGGTGTGGGGCTTACGTAGGGAACATTGTGGTACCTAATTGACTATATACAACCCCTTCAAGGGTTTTATGTAGGGAACATTGTGGTGCCTAATTCCCCCCCTTCCCTACTCAGAGGCCAGTAGGCTCACTCCCAGACCAACGCAGGAGGCCTTCGGATGTTGTGCCTTCATCGTGATCAACAATGCAGGCGGTCTAGGGGTTCAGGCTTGAGGCTTTGAGGTTTATAGGGTTTAGGGCGTTTAGGGCATTCCGGGCGTTTAGGACGTAGAGGTTGGGATTTAGGGGCTTTACGCAGGGTGTTTCAGGCTCAAGGTGCAGGGTGAGAGTAGAGACCCCTCCAGTACTCTGGGAACTTCCAGCTTGCAAGAACCCTACGCCCTGAACCCTCAAGCCGAAGCCCAGTTGTCGCAGGAACCCTAATTCCTAAATCCTTAAGCCCAAGGGGACCCCAAAATACTGTGTTTTTGTTCGCCCTCTTTTTGATATTTGGGGTGCTAGGGCGACAACACACCCGGTCTGACGTTCGGGTGGTTTAAGGTTTAGGGTTTGTGTGGTTTGAGAAAATTAAGGTTTAGGGTTTAGGGCTTAGGGTTTAGGCACCTCAAGCTCTTTTCCCCTAAACACCCTAAACCCTAAACACCCTAAACCCTAAACCCTAAACCCTAAACCCCTTCACCTGGACCCTACAAGGCATCGCGGTCAGCGATGACGCCGGCGAGGCCAAGATGAAGGCCATGGTCGATGTGAGCCTTGGGCTGCAAGGGTTTAGGGTTTCGGGTTCAGGTCTCAGAGTTCCGGAGAAGGATTTGGCATTTCGGGTTCAGGTTTTTAAGTTTATAGATTTCGGATGGCTGGGGCAAGTTATGGGCGATTTGTTTCCGCAGACACGCGGTTGAACTGGGGACTTTTGCGTTTAGGGGTGAAGGGTCGGGCGTGTCTGTCCATCCCAAACCCTAAACCCCAAGCCCCAAATCCTCGACCTTCAATACCTTCCATCCCAAACCTTCTTAAACCCTTCACCCTATGCCGCGAAACTGAGCAGGAAGCCTCTTGGGGCACTGCAGAAGGCCGGCACAGGGATCTTGAAGCCTTAATTTGGGGTTTAGGGTACTTAAATACGCCATCCTAAACCCTAAACCCTAAATAAACGCCAAACCCTAAACCCTAAACCCTAAACCCTAAACCCTAAACCCTAAACCCTAAACCTTAATAATAAGCCAAGGAACTTGATGGCGGTGATGAGGGGCACCTACGTGGCTGCCGAGGCGATGCGCGCGGCCGGCCAGAAGGGCGTGGTCATCAACACCGCGAGCATGGGCGGCCTCCTACCGCTTCCCGAAACGTGGGGCTGATGAAGATGAGAGGGTCTAGGAACCCGCAACCCTAAACCCTGAAACGTAGGAGATGGGGTTTAGGGAAGCACCCTAAAAGCTCAGGGTGTGTGGGTGTGTGTGTGTGTGTGTGTGTGTGCTGAGTGTGGATCATGTAGGCGTCGTTTAGGGTTACAGGGTCCTTTGTAGCGGATTGCAGCGCTGGAGCCACCGTGACAAGGGGCTGTAGCTTGGCATGTGACCGAGGCCGGCCTACGCAGCTTCCAAGTGGGCAGTGGTGGGCTTCACACTCTCATGCCGCCCACTCAAGAAGTCGCACGGCGTGCGCGTGAACTGCGTGTGCCCAGCTATGACGCAGACACCCGCGGTCGGAGCCTTTTTTGAGAGCAAGTTCAAGGAGGCGGATGCAAATCATCCGCTTTTGCAAGATCAGCTGCTACCCGAAGTGGTCGCGGACGCGTATATTGCTCTGATTGAGAACGAAAAGCTGAACTCTCAGGCAGCTGCCATCATGCCGCAGGTGAGCTACTTGCACAACTTCGACTTCGTCGGCGTCACGATGCAGGGCATGAAGGACGGTGTGAAGCTGCCCCGTCGTGCAAAGCTCTGAGCCTTTTGGGCACGGAGTACTGGTAGACGAGCGCATGCTTGCACACAGCACATGCTTCAACAAGCTGCCACAAGCGCCATTCCATTTTTGTCGGGTCCGGTAGACCTAAGAGACCTAAGAGACCTAAGAGACCGAATGCAAGACGCTATGCCCGGGGCGAGTTTGAACCGCGCCTCCGTTTCGGTAAGTGCCCTTTCCACAAAGTGAGCGCTTGGCTCAGTGGGGACAAAGAGACCTGATTTCTGGAGGGTCTGGCATCAGAAGATTCTTGCCAAGGGCCTGTTGCCTGAACCCGAAACCCCATTACATAACACCCCTACACTCAACCATCGCAGAGCCCTCCAGGTAAAGCCCGGACATCCTGCCTACGCACAGGTTCAAGGGAACCGAAGTATATTAGTAGGTCATACGCCCGGTTATAGATAGGACGAGGCTATTCCCTTCCCTGAGCCTCTAAGCAGGACAGATCCCTAAACCCTGAACCCGAAGCCACAAAAGCTGAGGCAGTCTGCAGACCCTTGCTTTTACAGGATCATTCGGGCACGTCGCTCCCGATTTCTTGAAGCCCAAATCGTCAACCAGCCTCAGCCCACCAAGACGTCCAAAGCAGAAATGCCAAAACTCTGTTGACCTCCAAACCCCCAAGCCCTCAATCCCAAATCCCTGAACCCATCAATCCCGGTTTCCTAAACGCCCTACACCCCAAGCAGAACTCCAAAAGAAACCCAATCCCAAACACCGAAACTCACCTCAAACGTGGCACACCTAAGGCGCGGAGAATACGCGATGACTCCAAGGCGGGCGGGAGCGACTCATTGGTTTACATGAAGGTTTGACCTTCATGTGAATGGCTACAAGTCGGGTGAAAATCACCTCGATAGGTTATAAATATAATATAGGTTACAGTACCCTTAGCTATAACACTTCTTATAAAATGACCCCTGAACCAGGGGTTAGGGGTTTAGGGATTTAGGGGTTTGGGGCGCTTTTGGGTGCGAGGAGGTTGCAAGGAGCTTATGGGCGAGAGTCTTCATAGCAAGGAGCGCCAAGTTTTGGGGCTAGGGTCCCCTTAAGCCCGAGAACCACAAATCCCTACACCCCTAGTAAACCCTAAACCCTAAGAGGCCTAGGGGCCCCTTAGGGTTTCAGGAAGGGATCTGGGTTTTCGGGTAAAGCGCTACGGCGCGGAGTGGGCCATCACTGCAGGGGTTAGGGGCGTTGAGGGGTTGAGGGGTTTTGTGTTTCGGGCGTGAGGGTTTACTGAAGGGCTCTAAGCATAGGAAGAACCAGGCAGCACCGGCAGGTGCCTGGTGAAGGGGAGATCTGATGGTAGGAAGCACTCTGGCAAGACTGTGAGTCTTGTCCTTTCTAATTAAGCCCGAAACGCATCCTTGCAGAGGCATGCCGGCATTCTGCTCTAGGCATCGCCAGCATCGAAGTTCAGGTCCAGGCAGCAGGACGAGCAGCCACAAGCAGCATCCGCCTGTGGTGGCGTCTGGCGTTGCTCCACATGGCTCTGGCTGCGGGGGTGGAAGGTTTGTGATCCGGAAATACTTGTGTCCGCGGCCCTACACCCAAAACCCCACACCCTGCACCCAACCCTAATTGGGAGCCGGGACTACGTTTTAGGGACTGAAACCGTAGCCCTAAACCCCAAACTAGGGTTTAGGATCACCCGACCCTAAACCCCGCTTTGAAGGGCCCAATTAGCCTCCAGAGCCATCCCGAAACCCTCAACACTAAACCCTAAACCCTAGACCCTAGACCCTCAACCCTCAACCCTAAACCCTAAACCCTAGCCCTGAACCCTGAACCCTTTGTCCCCAAACCCTATTCCAGGATGGCTGCCACCGGCCATTCCTTGTTTGCTGCTCGGCGAATGTCGGGTCGCTGATGAGAAACAGCGAGGCCCTGCCCGGTTGAGAGTTTAGGGTTTAGGGTTTAGGGTTAGGGTTTAGGTTTTAGGGTTTAGGGTTTAGGGTTTAGGGCTTAGGGCTTAGGGCTTAGGGCTTAGGGCTTAGGGTTTAGGGTTTAGGGTTTAATGTTTAGGGTTTAGGGTTTAGGGTTTAGGTTTTAGGGTTTAGGGTTTAGGGTTTAGGGTTTAGGGTTTAGGGTTTAGGGTTTGGGGTTTAGGGCAAGGGTTTAGGGTTTAGGTGTAGTAGTTGGAGCCTTGAAGACTCATTGAGGACTCAGCCCTAAACCTACGTCACCCGAACCCCCCAAAACTGCTAGAAGCCCTGAGCCCCAAGGCCTCAGTCTACACTCTGAAGCCAAACCCTAATGTTCACCCTAAACCCTAAACCCTAAACCCTAAACCCTAAACCCTAAACTCTTGTCTTGCTAAAGCACAAGAGGCCTCGACAGCTTAGCTAGGATGTCCGGTGCTCTTGCTGAGCGGTACCCTCTTGCCCGTTTGGACTTTGGGGTTTAGGGCTTAGGCTTTAGGGGTTAGGGCTTAGGGGTTTAGGGTTCGGGGTTGTCAACGTGGCTGAGCCCTTATTCTGCGAGTATGAGTATTGGGCTACTCGTGCTTAGGATCACGTAAGCTCTTTGAGCAAAGAAGGGGGGGCAGCTTTGAGAGTTTTCCTAAACTCGAAACCCTGAACCCTAAACACTAAACCATGACAGGAGGACCCGGATAACGTTACCAGTAAGGTGCAGATGCAGTGGGAGTCCATGAGTTCAGCATGGCTTCGGGTTGAGCGTTTGGGGATTGGCGTTTGTTTGGGGTTGGGGTTTAGGGCTTAGGGCTTAAGGCTTACGGCTTAGGGCTTAGAGGCTTAGAGGCTTAGGGCTGAGGGCTGAGGGCTGAGGGCTGAGGTTGAGGGTTTGAAGTTTATTTGGGGTTGGGCTTTAGGGCGTGCATCAGTGTGTTGGCAGAGCCCTGTCCGAAAGGCTCGAGCACCCATGCATGGTCAGCGGTTCTCTCGCCAGTTTAGGGTGCTCAGTAAGCCGCAAGCAGAAATCATTGGATCAATCGAGGAGCGTTTAAGCCTCAACAGGGCTTTGGGCTTAGGAGGGTTTAGGGCAAGGGGGCCAACAGCGCATGGGAGGCTTAGGGCATTCGGGAGACTAGAAGACTTCCGATAAGAGAAGTAAGAGAGAGCCAACAAGTTTCGTCAAATGATAGAAGTTAGTAGAAATCGCGAGAACAGTCAGAATGATAATTTTAACAAGCTGAAAGTTCGAAGCTTTAGCAAAAGATCGGGTATTTTGTTGCCCTGGCCCCGAGCGTCAAGCCTGAGCTATGCTGACCTCAAGTATTGGCACCGAAACCTTTAACAATCCCACAAATGCTGGAACCCCATATAAACCCTAAACCCCGAACTCGACATTCCCCCCCCCCCCCCCTGGGTAAAAGGCGGACTTGTTCGACATGACAATGCCGAAGCTTGGCTTCATTCGCACCCCCTTGGGACCCCACTGCAGCTCAAGCCCTCAAGCCCCTAAACACGAAACCCCCCCAAGCCCTCAACCCTAAACCCTTCTAAACCCTAACCTCCTCAACGCCTAGCAGGAGTTGCCTTTCGACTGGGACCTGGGTTAGACAAAAACCTCACCTTGGTAGCCTTCTGCCCTTTGTGAGGGGTTCTAGGTTCCATACAAGCAACTAACCCCAGAAGAGATACCCTTCTTACATGAGGGTGGCTGGGCGACCAGGCCCTCACACAAGAACAGATTAGGGTTTAGGGTTTAGGGTTTGGGGTTTGGGGTTTAGGGTTTAGGGTTTAGGGTTTAGGGTGTAGTGTAGGGTTTAGGGTTTAGGGTTTAGGGTTTAGGGTTTAGGGTTTAGGGTTTAGGGTTTAGGGTTTAGGGTTTAGGGTTTAGGGTTTAGGGTTTAGGGGCGCTCTCATTTGGGGGATTTAGAGCCCTCAGCCCTTTGCTGCAAGTTTGTATGGCCTTACGGGCCTGGCCGGCGACATGGAACAGTCCCTAAATCCCTAAACCCTAAACCCTAAACCCTAAACCCTAAACCCTAAACCCTAAACCCTAAACCCTTTGCTGGTGGTTGTGTTTGGTTTTACAGTTGTGAAGCCAAACAGGTTGCCCTTCTATGCCTAGGCCCATAGACCCAATACCCAACGAACCCCCAAGCCCTCCTAAACCTCCCTCAAACCCATTAAACCCTAAACCCTAAACCGTACGCAGAAATGAGACCATCAGTTCGGGTGAGGTAGCTACCCATGAATCCTAAATCCCGAAATCCCCACTGCGGCATCAGGAAAAATTTCACTGACGTAGACGCGCTGGTCACCTGTTTCAATGAAGCACAGGCGCGTCCCTGCTACCCCCGAACCCTAAACCCTAAACGCTAAACCCTAAAACCCTAAACCGAACACGAAAATCCGAAACGCAGGTACCTTATACCTTTGAGGCTTTAGGGTTACCAGGGTTTTAGGGGTTTAGTGTTTCGGGTTACTTGAAAGTTGATGGTAGCTACAAGTAGGGTTCTCAGTAAGGTAACCTATATAACCTCAACTATTATGGTACTGAAAACCCGTTCTAAGAATACCCATGAACCTTGAAGTATAGCCCTATATTACCCTGCATAGAAGTCATTCTGTCGAGGACCTCATTCCCTCCTCAGAACTCTTAAGAAATCGAAAAAGCCCTCCTTTCCAAAAAGGAACCCTTGCCTACACACCTTTGGCCCGGATTCCTTTGGGGTTTAGGGTTTAGGGTTTCGGGTTTAGGGTTCTGTTGGTCTCTACTTAATACCCTAGCAACCTAAAGTTTGGGGCTTAGAGTTTAGGGTTTTTTGGTTTAGGGCCTAAACCCTAAACCCTGAAACCTAAACTCTAAAACCTAAACCCTTAAGCCTATGATCCCTGAACCCTTGTTGCCTTCTTGCAGCTCGGGTTTGGACCCACAGGTTATAGCAAGGGAGTGGAGCTTATGGGGAAGCTTAGGGAGTAGAGGGGAGTATTGGGAAACCTTGGGCTACATAGCCCCCTTGACCCCCCCGCCCCCCCGCTAAGGACAATGAAAACAAGTGTTGT